TTTTTTTTTTTCTAATGAATGTTGAGCTCAATGTTTTTAGTAGTGATTTTGATCAATAAACTTGTGATCTTGTGGCATTGTTCCTGCTTGTCCTTTTCATTTAATTGAAAGCCTGCTACTGGGAGGCTCATAATTTTGGGTGTTCATCAGGGGTGTCTGGGGTATAATCTGATTAGGTCACGATCACAATTGGCGTAGTCGGCACGTTCCTAAAGTAACAGGCAGAGACTGCCACATAGAAATTGTTAATTTTCTTTGTTTTTTATATTTTAGTGTTTTTGTATGTCTGTGGGGTGTTCTCTTGACAGCAAAGCAGCAGCTGGTAAGACACAGACAATAGGATTCTGGTAGTGGATGAAACCTGGTTTAAGTGGTAAGGTTTCTCTTTTTCCTCTTTTCCCGTTGATTTTTTTTTAGTAATGGAGGTCGAACTGGAGGAGTTGCGACGACAGGTGCAGTCATTGAGGGGAGAGAATGAGCGGTTGCATCATCAACAGGCAGGCCAGGCTATGGGAGCTGTGGGTCCCTCAACTGTGAATGCCCCACCTGTCCTGAGCCCTATAGTTGAACGAGTGGTCTACGTCCCTAGGGAACGGAGGTGCTGTATTTTTAGCGGCAGAGGGGAAGATGGTGTATTTGAGTGGGTGGAGGAGATTCAGGCTTGCTTGCGGGTCCGACATCTGCCTCTCTTGGAACAGACCTTATTTATTCTTGACCATTTAGAGGGTCCTGCTAAGAATGAGATTAAGTATAGGGCAAGGGAGGATAGGGAAACACCAGAACAGGTTTTTTCAATCTTGAGGGACCTTTATGGGTGTCCACAGTCCTATATTGCCCTGCAGCAGAATTAATTTTCCCATAAGCAGCTGGAGGGGGAGTCTTTGCAAGAGTATTCCCATGCCCTTTTTGCATTAATGGAAAAGGTAGTACAGCAGGCTCCAGGAGGTATGCCTAATTCAGTGGTTTTACTTCGGGACCAGTTTGTGGAGCATGTGACTGATAGTGGCTTGCGGCGGGAGCTTAAACGTTTGTTAGTTTAAATCCTGAGTCCACTCTCTTGGATGTTCGTAAAGAAGCCATTAGATGGGTGGATGAGGGATTTCATTATGAGATGAGGGAGAGGAGTCATTCGGTCCCAGCTTCCTCTGCTCTTCAGTATAGAGTACAGGGACAGACAGATTTCTCTGGCCCATCGAACGTTAATGTTTCAGAGCTGACGGAACTGAAGAGAATAATGCGGGACCAGCAGGAACAGCTTAATCAACTGACTCAAAGTTTACGGCAACTTCAGTCTCCGAGTGTGTGTTACGTTATGATGTCTTTTGTGTTTCCATAATATTTGTGTTCTGTTGGATGTTTTCTGTCTGGGTTTCAGATCGCTGCTGATTTACTAGGAGTGCTGCCGTCTATCAGCGGTAATTGGAGCGATCAGCTGGCAGTCCTTTTAAAACGCCACTTCCGCTCTTCAGAAGTCGGCAGTGCGACTTCGGGCCGGTCGCACTGGTCCAGACTCCCTGTTAGCCGCCAGACCAAGATGTGTTGTTAGTGTTTCTCCTGATTGTCCGGATACAGATGGATTGACCATACGAAGTGTCTGTTACTGGTGCCCATTTGCAAAACTCTGAGATTATTAAAGATTTGAAGTCTCATTTGTCATATCTGTCCGAAGTTAATTCAGACATATTTAACTTTGTCCTGCCTGCTAACGGGCAGACGGAAAACTGCCACCCTCTGAACTGATGAGCCACAGTTCAGAAGGGATAGGGCCTGGCTCACTGGCTCCTGCCTCTGTTAGTGCTGGATTTTCCAATCTGTTGGGTAAGTGCCCCTCCGTCATAGTTAATATGGGTGGGGTTAATGTTCCATGTTTATTGGATACAGGCTCTATGGTAACCACTGTCACAGAGAGCTTCTTCCTAGCACATTTTGAACCCTGGGGTAAGGAAAGGTTGAATGACTGTGGGTGGTTGCAGCTTTGTGCAGCTAATGGGTTATCGATTCCTTTTGTAGGATACCTTGAGTTGGATTTTGTTATATTAGGTAGACACATTCACAATAAGGGTGTCCTTATTGTAAAGGACCCTCCACAGGTCCTTCCAACGTCAGGATTGCCGGGTCTATTGGGGATAAATGTGATAGGTGAGTGTTTTCAGGAGGTATTCAATCAACATGGCCCAGAGTTGTTTGATCTTCCGATAGTTAAAGAAGCTCCAGCGTGGCAGTTGGCAATGCAGTACTGCCAGACTGATTGCTCCCAGAAGTCAGTTTATTTGGGGGCCTGTTCGTGTTAGGGGTAGACAAGTGGTCTGCATTCCGGTCAACTCCATGCAGTTTGTCCCAGTTACTTGTGCTGTGCAGTGTGGGTCCCTGTCTATGGCTCTTTATGAGGCTTTGGACAATGGGAACCCACTTCCGTCTGGCTTATTGGCATCCATATCCCTGATTCTCGTAAGGGGTGGTATCGCTAAAGTTCCTATGGTTAACATAAGTGAACTGGATGTCTTTTTGCAACCGCGGCTAGTGGTGGGAACATTGTGTCAGGTCCAGCCTATTAGCTGGCCAGGGGAGATTATTGCTACTTGCCCAGGTGCTTCTCAGGACCAGCAGGTCATAGTTTCCTCTCAAGCTGGAAGCATTGATGGGGTAGAGGGGGTGATCCAGAATATGGATATGTCGCACCTCTCCGTAGAGGAGCAGGGTCAAGTGAAGGGTCTGTTGAGTAAATATATATCTGTATTTTCAGCAAACGATTCTGATTTGGGGTGTACTAACTTGATTACACATGAGATTCCACTATTGGATTCTGCCCCTATACGACAGAGGTATCGTCGTATCCCTCCCTCTGATTATGCTGCTGTCAAAGAACATGTGCAACAATTGCTTGCAAGTCAGGTGATTAGGGAAAGTAGTAGTCCCTTTGCTTCCCCCATAGTCGTTGTTAAGAAAAAAGATGGTAGAATACGGTTGTGTGTCGATTATCGACAGTTAAATCAGAGGACTAGGAAGGATGCGTTCCCGTTGCCCCGCATTGAGGAGACCTTGGATGCCGTTTCTGGAGCCCAGTGGTTCTCAACTGTAGATTTAGTAAGTGGGTATAATCAGGTTCCTGTGGCAGAGCAAGACAAAGGTAAGACCGCTTTTTGCACACCCTTTGGGCTATTCGAATTTAATCGGATGCCCTTTGGATTGTGCAATGCCCCAAGTACGTTCCAGCGTCTGATGGAACATATGTTTGGGGGTCAACGGTTTCAAACATTGCTGTTGTACTTGGATGACATTGTCTTCTCAACCACAGTAGCCCAACATCTGGAGCGATTAGAGTTGGTGTTCAGCCGTTTGCAGCAGGAGGGCTTAAAGGCCAAATTGGAGAAATGCTGTTTTTTCCGTCAGGGGGTCCACTACTTGGGGCATGTTGTCTCCAAAGAAGGAGTTTCTACTGATCCAGGTAAAATTAGCACCGTTGCAGAGTGGAGCCTAGTAATGCTGCAGAGTTAAGATCTTTTTTGGGTTTTGTGAGTTATTATCAGCGTTTTGTAGAGGGGTTTGCCAAGTTGGCTGCCCCTCTGCATCGCCTGGTGGCAGAGTTGGTTGGCACCAAGAAAAAGAGGGGCTCAGGTAGACCCATAGAGAGCTGCTGGACCCTAGAGTGTGAACAAGGATTCCAGTGTCTCAAGGAGAAATTGGTAGCAGCTCCTGTGTTGGCATATGCCGATTTTGCTAAGCCCTTTGTACTTGATATTGATGCTAGCCATTTGGGACTAGGGGCAGTGCTTAGCCAGGAGCATAGTGGGAGGTTACGGCCAGTGGCTTATGCCAGTCGAGGGCTTAGGCCTACAGAGAAGAATATGGAGAATTATAGTTCCATGAAATTGGAACTTCTCGCCCTTAAATGGGCAATGGCGGAAAAGTTCAAGGATTATCTCCTGGGCCATTGTTGTACCGTCTATACGGATAACAACCCACTGAGCTATCTGAATTCGGCTAAGCTAGGTACAGCTGAGCAGCGCTGGGTGTCTCAGTTGGCAATTTTTGATTATGAGATCAAGTATCGCCCTGGTCGTGTTAATGGAAATGCTGACTCATTGTCGAGGCAGTATTCCTCTTATAATTCGACACAGTCCTCTGGTACACCGTTGCCCAAGACACTCCACGTATTGGACATCCACCAGGGGTTGGGGGATGAGTTGGTAGGTGCAGAACAGCATGCTATTGCTGCCTTCCCATTTCGTTCAAAGGAAGAGCTCCAGCAGATGCAGTTGAATGATTCAAGATTAG